AAATTTAAATGTAAAGAAGAATTTTTATTTTTTTATGTCAAAAAAACTCAAATAAATTTAAAAAACCTTTCACAAAACAGAAAAGTTTCAAATTCAATAAAAAATTTCAGTTTTAAATTTCTTTAAATTTTTTAATTCTTGGCAAAAAATAAATTTTCTTTATGAAAAACATTTTTTGAAAAACCTTCGAACAATATTTTTTTAACTGTGACAATTAAATTAAAAATGAAAAGCACATTTTGAAAAATAAGAATTGGTTATTTTTAAAAATTTTAAAAAAATTTTAATTTTGAAAATAAAAACAAATAGAAAAATATATGACAATTTTGCAAAGATTAATTTGAAATTTCAATTAATTTTTAAAACCTATTTTTTAAATATTTCAAAAAAGATTTTTTTAGAATTTAATTTTTTGAATAAAATTTGGAAATTATAAATTTCAGCAAGAAATAGCAATGGCGGATGAGTAAAACCCCAACAAGGTCTATATATATTTTGCAAATTCACAAAAAAGAAATTATGTTCATTTTTTAGCAAATAAATAAGGGTTGGAAACAAACAATTTTAAACAAAATTTAAATATATAACAACTTCAATATATAAATTAACAAGGACCAAAAAAAAATCCCTTTTTCATTCAAAGAGCATTTTATCTAAAATTTTATGTAATGTATATTTTGGGTTTTTTTCTAAATTAATAATGAATTAACAGTGTTTTTGCATGAATGATCAAATCCCAAAATATTATTTTGCGGTAAAAATTATATAACCTTTTGATTTTATATAATGACATTCAATTTTCAATTAATCTTTGAAAAATTTCTTGATTTAAAATGAATAAAGTTTTTAGTAACAATGTTATTCGAATTTCTCCTTTTTAAGAAATTTTTTTTTGTTTTAGAAATTATCTCTGTAATATTAATTTGAATTGTCTAATTTATAAAATTAGGATATTTTATTTAAGATCGTTTTCTAAATTTGTTCATAAAATATTTTAATAATTCTGAGAAACAAAATAAATTTATTGCCATTTTTTTTGACATGTCGTCCAGGAAAAAATTTTTTTGAAAATGGAATAACTTTAATTTGAATTTTTGATCAAACCAATTACATGAATCAATATAATATATCTTTAAATTTAATTAGAAAATTAAATTTATTAATTCATTTTAAAAATAAAAAAAACAAAAAAAAAATAGATTATTAAATTTAAAATCAAACTTTTCTTTTTTAACAATTAAAAAAAAATTTAAACTTAAAAAATTTACAATAAAATCAAAAAACATAAATTTCAAATTTTCTTTTAGAATAAATAATAACTTTTTTTAAGAACAAAATAAAGAATTTAAATGAAAATGGATCAAAAAAAACAAATGAAAATTATTGAATTTCCAAACTGAATAATTCATGATATAAAATTTGAATACATATATTTTTTATATTTTTTTATATTAGAATAATATATAAATCAGGAATTTATTTATAAAATATTTACAAACAGTTATCAATTTCCCAAATTGAAATATATGATTATAAAATTTTTTTGATATATATAAAAATAAAAAACAAATTTCAATGTAAGTTTAATGAAAAGGGATATTAAAATTTTTGTATGTTCAAAATTTTGGCGTTTCCAATAATGCAAATTTCAATTTGAGGGAACATGATTTTAACATGACAACCATTAAAAAAAACAGAAGAATTAAATAAAATTTGATGGAATAATATGACAAAGGATTTTTTTAAAAAATCTTATTAAAATTTTTTTTGAATTTTCTATTCTAAAAAAACAGTGTCATCTATAAATTCCATTATGTTAAGATTCAATGGCATAAACATAATATTTAAATTTTTTAAAAAATCTTTAAATTATATAAATGAAAATATATTTGTCTAATAAAATAAGAATTTTTCTTTAAAAATAATCATGAAAATTATTAATTAATGTTTTTATTTTTTAAATTTTTTTTAATTTATTTAATTTATTCGTAAAATTAAAAAATGAAAAAAAATATTCTGGATTAATTTAATCCATTATGAAAAAAAATTTTTTTTATAAAAGAAAATTTTTTTATTTACATTAAAACATGAATGACATTTGAGTTTGAACATACTCGCCATGAATAAATATAGTGATCCCATTGAATGAATGAAGTTTATATTAATTATAATAAATGTCCTGTCAGAAAAAAATATCACGTCTATTTTGATAAAATATCAAGAATATATTTATAATTTGCATTTAAAAACTGAACATTTAAAAATGAACTGTTGGCTCTAATTATTTTTTTCATTAAATAAGATTTTAAATTGAAACTCTATTATTGGTTTACTTTATTTTTTTTTGTGATATTAGACATATGTATGATTTAAACACGTATTATCAAATTTATTTTCAATATAATATAAAATTTGGGGATTTCAAATTCTGTCTGACAAAATCATTTGAAAAATTTTATAAAAAAAATATAAGCAGTTGACATCAAAAAATTACAATGGAAAATTGAAAAAAAGAAAATTAATTGTTAAAGTGGGTATGAGGATAAAAATGTCCGATTCAAAGGCCTTTATCATTTAGGTTATTGAATGAATATGGAAATATAAAAAAGTTTTGGATGTTATTTCTATGTAAATCTAATGTTTGTGGTAATTTTTTCATTTCTATTATGGGGAAAATAAACTCCCAAACTTAGCTTAAAAAAACTAAAAACAATTGATACAAAAAAATGAAAATAATAAAATATATTATATGAAAATATATAATCAATTAATAATATGAAATTTCCAATTTATTAAAGAAATCAAAAAAAATGCTATTCGACCCATACTTTTTATTTATATATATATACTGTGTATTTTTTTATCGAACTCTTTAAATCTTAGATGATATATGAATCTTTGTAGAACATATTAAAAAAATGAATTTAAAAATAATATATGAATGCTGTTGTAAAATTTAGGAAAATAAATGTGAATAAATTTGTTTCAGTAAAAAATGTGAAAATATTGAGATTTTTTGGATATTTAAAAAGAACAAGATAGATAGATTTGAACAAATTGAGATTGTTAGATAGATAGATATGAACTATATAAATATCCTTGGAAAATTTAATAAAAGAAACAAATGAAGAGATTTATATGATAATTGATCTTTTTTTTAGATATCAATAAATATATAGAATATATAGATAAATTATTAATGACTAACTAGATATTTTTATAAAAATTTTTTTATAAAATTTTATAAAAGCAGATTGAGATATATATAAATATGAAGATAGAAAGAGATTAAGAAAAATAGTATAAAAATTTTTTTTTATGAAATTTAATAATGAAAGATTTTTGAGATAGATAAAAAGAATATAGAATTTATTGATATTTTAATTTTTAATTTCAGGAGTTTTTATGATTTTTAAATAATATTATTTTAAACATTTTATATTTTATTTATTTATTCTTTAAAAGTTTTTATTTTCAATATTTTGGTTATTATTTAGTCTGAAATATTTTTTTAATGGTTTTATTTTAATTTCTCAATTTCTACCATTGTTTTCTATGTTTGTGATATTGGATGTATAAAATTTTATAAATATATATATGTATATACATTTTAACTGTATATATGTCCGTTATATATTGAATTATAAATTTTGTTAACACGTATAAGGGCTAATGAATATTTGTAAAATTATTCCCCTGTGCCCAACTTTTTTTTTTTTTGTGTTTCCTTATTTTTATACATATTTTTTTAAATTTTTTTTGACACCAAGAATGTTGTGTGTGTAAATATAACATAAATATGTCATACATTTTTATTTTTATAATCTGAACATTTTTTGTTGTTTTGCGCGTGAGTTTAAACCATATTCACAAACTAAAAAAAAAAGAAAAAAAAATATATATACATGTATTATCAAATGACCGGATATTGTAGCTTTTTGTCTTGTCGAGACATAATTTCAATGAAGAAATGAATTGAATAAACATATATATTTTTTTTTTTTTCTCAATAATTTTGTAGTTTTTAAACTTAATAGTGATTAAATTTGGATTTTTAAAATTGCCAGTTTTTAATTTTAATATTAAATTTTATCATATAATTTTATAATTATTAGTTAGTATAAATTATTTTTAATATTACACGTATTTAAAGATCTGAATAGCTATTATAGCAGGATTTTGTTGTCAAGCTTTTTGAATCTTTCTATACTTCGTTTTGATTGGTTATTCTAGCTTTTGTAACAATGTTTCCCCCTAGTGTAGGATCGTTAATTAATCTGAAACTTAAAGAATTAATAGATTTATTTTTTTAATCTAACATTTCACATTTTTATTATTCCAAATGTTAATTTCTTAGTGGATACAGGTGTTTAAAATAGACACTCCACTTTTTCTTTTTTAATTTTATTATTTTAAAGTTTATTGTCTGTCAGGCTGTGCACTAGAGAAAACTTAATAAAGGAAACCTGCATTCTGGCAGGGTTTGAACATGTGACCCCTTGTAGTAGGAACCACCATTTGAACTGATATGTCTTGGGCTGCTCAGCCACAGAGGGTGCCCTAGCCCAGAAAGGTTTTTATTTAAAATAAAAATAAAAGAAATAAAAAAATGGGGCATTTATTTCAAACATGTATATTGGCTAAAATTATTTTTTGAAGCTTTATATATAAAGATACACACTGCATATATGCATTTTTATGCAATCGCATTCAGGCCTTATAGGCAAATTTAAAGAAATTATCAATGATTTTCTGTATTTCAAGATTTCTTTTTTTGTATACAGATACACTTTTAGTGTACAATTTATCCAGAGGGGTATTTAAGAATAAAAATGAACCAATTAAAAAAAAAAAAAAAAAAAAATTCCAAGAACAAAATTTTAGGATAGAAGAAATTAAATGAATCTTATATACAGATTAATGCAGTTGTTTGGTAGTTTAGCATTTATATGCTAAAAAAATTAAATTAAAAAAAAAAAAGGAAAAAAAAAGGGTCTTACTTTAACAGCTGTGGGAGCACTGGAAAGGGTGACAAGAGTTCCAGCAGCCTCATAACGAACAGCTGGGCTTGAAGAGTTTAAAAGGTTATATATGCAGCGGATAAAGCGGGCACGTTCAGATGGATTGGCATGACACACCTGAAAGGTAAAAGAGGAGGAAAAAAAGAAAGAAAAACAATCATGATCCATTGTAAAAATAAGACTTTGTGTTCAGAGGCATATTAGGAATATTTCACATTTTCATTGGTCCCAAAGAAAAAAAAAAAATTACAACTAGTGAATTCAATGAGATCAAACGTGCACATTTCTCTCAGTCACATACAACAGATATACTCTCAATAATCTTGTCCATATGTAAGAAGAGGTAAGGTAGCAGCTTTGTGTAATAGTCACTAACCTGACATTACTAAAGAGGCATGGTAATGTCTGGCAGACTCAAAGGACATGTCTCTCTCATTAAATGACATTATTGATCAACTGCGTAATTGTATTTTTCAACACACCCACATCGTTACTGAATGTGACACAAGGTCGAAGTTTAAAGTAGGTTTACTGGCAATACTGTAGAAAAATTGCCTAAGCCCCCTCGGCACTCCCGTTTTGGAGACAGTGCAGGAGCCAGACAATAAACTAAAGCCCCACTCCCAAAGAAGAGGTACTGCCTGTTAGGAAGGCTCCCTGAGGCTTGGGCTTAAAATTTTTTTATCCTTCCTGACCCCAAAAAAATGTCTGATAAGAATACGAAAACAAATATTCCATACATAAAATAATTGTTTATCCACTTCTGAACTCCATCAAATTATAATCGGACAAATCAAAGGTATGTGATTTCAAGTCTTTCATCAAATATTTGATCTTCTTGCTAACGTGTGAGAGATTATCCTTCTCTCCTCATAGGTAAGGTGTTTATATAACTTCCTCTTATCTAGTTGTGTTGTGCATGCATATCCTAACTTCAGCTGTGTTCACATCCTTGCTGAAGTTAATACACACCCCAGCATCTTTCAAGACCTGACTGCCCTTCGGGGATTAGGGCCCTAGCTCTTCTGACTTTCTGAAGTACAAAATTTACTTTGTTATCGTTTCGGGTGAACTCAGTACATACTTTGGGGGGGGGGTCACCACAGATCAACTCTTCTTAGAATGAGCACTGGTATTTTCTTACACAAATCAACTACTATGTAAGGAAACATTACCAGGCATTGGTGTAGAATTGGCCAGGGAATGTATATGTTACAGCTTTCTTGGGAACCTAAGATAAACCTAAGCTTAATCAATATTTATTAGTATTCTGACAATGAACCCATCTTTATCAGGTTATACGTCTTTGGAAATGTCCTTTCTTAATGTAATACATTTTTGCTAAAAGATTATTTTTAAATATTACTTGGAATGGCCTTGTTCTAATTTCCCAGCATATTTATTGAAAATGATATTATGTTCCAAACATTTTTCTTGTAATTGATTATTTATAACAGATTGTTCTTTCAATGATTGAAAATCTAGACAGAGAGACGTAGACTTGGAACATCAGCCATGCATGACTTTTTGGCAAGTTAGCAACCCTATGCAATGGGCTGGGAATTTAAGGACATGCAAGCATTTCTTTTCTAAGAGAAATTATTTAATAAATTTTAGAACTGATTGAATGGAATTGAAAGAAAATCCTCATGTTACCTTATAGATCAACTCGACAATAACCAATTGAAGAATATCCCCAAAAGAATTAACTTGATCAATGCAGCTGCTCAAGTAATTTAAAGCAGCTTCCTGCAAAGAAATTAAAAATAAAATCATTAACAGCACATATTGCAAGAACAAAGATTGTGCTCTGAAAAAAAAATTAAAAATAAAATAAATAAATAAAAAAAATGGTTGATCACAGATATTTTTGGAAGATTTTTGAGGTAAACAGTCTTTGCAAATACAATTACTCATTATCAAAAGAAAGAGCATTAAGAGTAATTTTTGGTTTCAATCCTGATTGGGAAGGACTACAAAGCACTTTCTATTCCCCCAGTTTACAGGCAGAAGCACATAAATGTATGCTGGAATTTCTTCCTAAATAGTTCTCAGTTTCATATGACTCAGTCCCAGTCAGTCTTGTCTTAAAATCAGAATATTAAATTTGTCTATCTGAATTTGCTCTTGTGAACTTTTTGTCATATTACTGTTGCTTTGCATATATTGTTTGTTTGCTTTATATTTTTTTTTTTGCTGTTCTTTTTTTGTTATTGTTGATTGCAAACTTTGTCAATTCTATTTGTTGGACAATGCTATCATTTATTTTACATTTAACCATGGCTACTCAATCTACAGTAATAAATACAATTAAATGTTCACTTGCCTCTACTCTGGTCTTTACAAAGATTGCATACTGAATGTAATCTCTGGGAAACTTGTAATAACACACACACACACACACACAAAAAGATTCACAAGTGACAATTATCAATTCTGGTTATTACATTAAGGAAGACATATTGAGGATGCACTAAAAGCAATCATTTTAGCACTGGTTACGTTACATTTATTTTATTTTTTTTTGTAAAATTGTAAGAGAAAGGTGAGAGTTTTACCTGGTCTGCATGGATAAGCATCATGAAGGCATTACGCCTACAAGACATGTCATGTTCTTCTTCTAAGAATTTTGCAATCAATTCTGGAGCATCAGGAATAAGGAAGTCATGGTTTCTGAGAACAAAATAACCAAAGGTATCAAACAACCAAAATAACTGGGGTTTGAAAGAGAAATACTATTTTCAAAGAAACAAACAATACATTTCAATATCACCTGGATTCATATTTTGGACAAGTCACTGGTAGAACCACAAGAACTGAAAATGTTTGGTTTTTTAACCCTTAGGAGATGACAGGACCGATCTATAAACCGAAAAGTCAAATGATGAAGAAAACAACTGGACTTATCTGTCAGCCCAATAATACAAGCCTCAAGATTAGCTGGCTGGTCTTTAGATTACTTCTTGCAAATTTGAGCCTTTCAATGGTGCTTTCTATGATGATTTTTGCTATGTTCTGTGATTTTATAATCAATTTTTTTTGTGTTCCAAGTGAGGGCTTTTGTGAAAAGGTCTCTGTCTTCTTGGCAATGAAACTTCAAATGAAGCTCGGTCCCCAAAGGGTTACTTCATTTTAAGAAATCTTGAGAAATTCAAAAAAAATCTCAAATATTAAAAATATAGTCTTTGAAATGTTGTTTTAAACATTTAACTCCTTCTATAAGTAAATTTTTTCATAATAAAAGAAAAAAAATTTTTTTTAAATCACCCAAATTCTAGTTTTTACTTTAATTCATTGGTGTGTGGGGGTGGGGGATGGGGTGATGGCGTCAAGAACCAACACTCCATTTTTTTTTTTTTTTTTTTCACCCCAAGCAAACCAAAAATGTCACTAAATGTAAGGGGGCTACTGGGAGTGAAAGAGTTTAGAAGGAACTGGAAACCCAATCTTGAACAGAAAACAAAGGATAAACCTCTACTCCTGTTCAAAAAAAAAAAAAGGAGAGCAGAGTGGACTAGGCGATGTTCAAATGCAGACATTAATTCTTCAACGAGTTTCATAAAAGACTAAAAGAGTTCAGCTTCATTCAAGTAATGTTTGTCAATAAACTTAAAATATCAACATTTCGAAAATATTCATAAAAGGAGAAATTATAAAATTAAACAAACCTCAGTTTTTTTTTAGTTTTTAATACTGACCTGAAAATGGTATAAATGGCAAGAACGGCATTTCGTCGGACATAAGAATGACGATGTTCTAAACACTGGCGGATGGCAGGCATCAGAGGTTCAAGTAATTCTGGTTCTTTCAGTTTGCAGAGGAAACGAAGCGTGGAACCACGGATAAACTCATTAGGATGTTGTAAATCCTATTGAAATAAAATAAAAGCTTATTTTCAAGAAAAACATCAATGAAATAAAATAACCATATATATATATATATATATATATATATATATATATATATATGGTTGTGTGTGTGTAAAAATAGATATACAATAATGAAAAACAAAACCTGTCAGAGTTCAGATTTAAATACATAAATAATATATGTCTCTATATTTAACACAAAATAGTAGGGAAGAATTTTTTAAATGCAAATAAATCAACTCTTGGTATCTATCAAGCAAGAAAAGTCACAATATTGACATTTGTAGATGAAAAGAAGCTGGCCAACTGACTTGGTTTGGTTTGGTTTGTTTTATGGCGTCTCAACCCCATTGGGTTATTTAAAGCCAACAAAATTTTTTATTGCTGGTAATAATTTTTTTTTCAAAAGCGTACTGCTGGTAATTTTTTTTTTTTTCAAAGTATTTCTGGTATTAAAACCTATATTTACACTTTCATAGTGTTTTGACCTCAGTTTGGGGGTGTTAACTATTTACCCATAGCTGGGACCCTAACAGGTGATACCACCCTGGGTCAGCAATTAAAAGATGGTTCTACACTCCTCAAAATCTCCTGATCAGAGGTCTTGCTGTTGAACGTAGTTTATCGTCTTACCCAGGATGCGGATGTAAATTATCATCATACTCAAGATGGCTGACTTGAATAGAGAAATTTAAAATACATCATACATACACATACATACATTTTGTTATGTGAGAATGAGGGAGTTAGACATGATGCTTAGCCTGTTTAGGAATGTCAGCTGTCATTTTCTTTCAATCTAAATTGCATTTGTTTTACTTCTTTCCCCCAACACTACACATAATATTGCCGTCTAACACCCTTTTGTAATCATGTTGAAGATCAGTGAGTTGTGATAACACAACAATATTCATGATTAGCACATTACCTGAAAGCCAATGGAACCAACCAAGTTCTTTCTATTTCCATCCTGGTTTCTTTTTAACAAACACCAATCAAATGTTGACGCATCAGACTCCACAATCAAGATAAACGCACCGATTGTCAATACGCTTGTTACACATAAACAGCAACAAACAAGGAGAAAGACGTTTTTCTATTTTATTTTGGAAAAAAAAATTATTCATGAAGTAAATTTTTTTCTTTCGATAATGTTCTAGCAATACAAAAGCACCAACAGCGACTCAAGGTAAAAGCTGCTGAGTGATGCATGTGGTATGAACACAAGAGGAAGAAGCAAGAAGTGAAGGTTACGAGGATAAATAACTATTAACCCTGGACTTGAACAGGTTAACAGTGTAGTGTTAGAGAAAGCATCCACGTGGGAGTCTGTTCTACAAAGTAACATTTCTTAAGAATAAGCTGTCTGATTTGAAATTACTCCTTACCAATAGGATACAAAGAAAATGAAGGTGATTTGAACATGTGTATGTAACATGGCAAATCTTAGTCATAATGGTCTGAACTGGTGAAACTAAAGAATGGAAATTATCAGAACATTTGCCATGGAAATAGCAATAGAGTAACAATAAGCTTGTAATGTTGCATCTGTGGGGCAAGGTGTTGCAGGGTGGAAAACAATTTATCTCTCACAAGGTTGTGTAAACAATTTTGATCTATCAAGACTAGAGAGAGTAAGGAGTTGCCTAGAGAGAGAGAGAGAGAGTAAGGAGTTGCCTAGAGAGTAAGGAGTTAGAGAGAGTAAGGAGTTGCCCTAGAGAGAGTAAGGAGTTGCCTAGAGACAAAGGAGTTGCCTAAGGAGTTGCCTAGAGAGAGTAAGGAGTTGCCTAGAGAGAGTAAGGAGTTGCCTAGAGAGAGTAAGGAGTTGCCTAGAGAGAGTAAGGAGTTGCCTAGAGAGAGTAAGGAGTTGCCTAGAGAGAGTAAGTTGCCTAGAGAGAGTAAGGAGTTGCCTAGAGAGAGTAAGGGTTGCCTAGAGAGAGTAAGGAGTTGCCTAGAGAGAGTAAGGAGTTGCCTAGAGAGAGTAAGGTTGCCTAGAGAGTGAGGTTGCCTAGAGAGAGTAAGGAGTTGCCTAGAGAGAGTAAGGGTTGCCTAGAGAGTAAGGTTGCCTAGAGAGAGTTTAGGAGAGGGAGTTGCCTAGAGAGAGTGAGGTTGCCTAGAGAGTAAGGAGTTGCCTAGAGAGAGTAAGGGTTGCCTAGAGAGAGTAAGGAGTTGCCTAGAGAGTAAGGTTGCCTAGTAAGGAGTTGCCTAGAGGAGAGTTGCCTAGAGAGTAAGGAGTTAGTTTGTTTTTTGTTTTTTTCTCAAACTGAACTATCAATAGATAAAGCGCTCCCTCCACAGTCATGACATTTCATCAGGTACATGACAAGAATGAATGGGAAAGAAAAATGAAGCTTACCTTTCTGTAGGCATCACAGACAAGAATCATTTCTTGGAGAAGTTTACCATCTGCATGACATTTTGGCACTACTTCCCAGAATATCAACAAAAGTTTCTTGATGGTGTGGTCATGCAGTGGCATTACAAAACGGATGATGATCATCAGAAGTGAAGGCATCTTTTCTCCATTTAGAATTAACTGAATAGTTTTCTTCAGAGCATTGATTTTCATCTTCACATCTCCCTTCTCTGAAAACACATAGACATGGTATAAAATAGGATATGGTAGGTGTATTGGATAGAAAAGATATACATTGTATAGAATGAGGCAAGGTGGGTATATTGAATAAAAAAGATACACATAATACAGAATAGAAAATGGTAGGTGTATTGGACAAAAAAGACATACATTGTATAGGATGGGGAAAGATAAGTAAATTGGATAAAAAAGATATACTGTATAGAATTGGCTAAGGTAGGTACAGGGTGCGATGGATAAATTGTCATTTAAATTATGCAAAAATGAAAATAACACTGACATCTCATTTTAACAAATATATTTACCAAAATTACACAAAAATATCTTGAAATACTAAAGAGTAAATTTATTTGACAATTGCTATAACAACAACAAAGATGAGGGAAATACTCCACATATAATGAAATATATTTAAAAAAAAAAAAAATTAATACAGACATGTCTGTTTATTTTCAATACTCAAAAAAAAAAATTTCTCAGTTATGCTTATTAAACACTTGGTTACGTTGATGACATAAATTCTGATAAAATAATGACTAAAAAATAGAACATTACCCAATTCTTGTCGAAGCTGCAACTCCGATGGTGGCTCCGCATCTGTTGGTACATTAATCAATGTATATGAAGCCTGTTCTGCTAACGACATTTCTTTTTTCTACAAAGAGAGAAAAATTGTTGCAAAGCTTTTCAAGTTCCATTATAAAGAAAATAATTACCTCTGTCACATAATTGTTATAATATTTAGTATAGGAAACCATTATGCAAATGTAACAATCATTATGGGACAGAGGTAGTAATATTTATAACATAATGGGATATTAGTGAACAAGAAATGTATCAATAAGATTTTGAAAATTGTTATAGTTCTGTAAATAAGGAGAAACTGAACAAGTTGATGTCAGATTAATTTATGATAGGAAATTTAGCATATTTCTGGTTAATATAAGAAAGAATGACTTGTGCTGTACAAGTTTCAAATATAAAAATAGAGAGCTCTCAGGAAGAATATACCCTTGCTAACACTATTGTCACCTACGAAAAAAAAATTATATATGATAGAAGACAGTTTTATTGTAGGCTATATGGATAAAAGTGATTAATAGCAAGGATAGAGAGTATGTAAATATAAAAGTGGACACTGAGGTCAACACAGAGTGGTGACAGTGTTTCATGCTTAAATGCAATTTCAAACCATTGAAGGAAAAAGTAAAAAAAAAAAAAAATCATTAAGGAGTAAGACCTACAATGGTATATATTTGCTACACAAACTAAGTAAAATAATCAATAGGAATGATACAAGTCTATACAGGGACAATGGTTTCATAATTTTAAGAAACTGTAACAATTACAGATTTTCAAAAATATGGGATTCGACATAAAAATTAACCTAAAAGAAGTTGATTTTCTATATGTCAATTTTAACCTAAGAAAAGCTACATATAAACAATACAGAAAACCAAATGATAAGCCACTGTATATAGATACATCTTCTAACCAGCTGCCATCAATAATCAAACAGATACCACAATCTATTAACTCCAGGCTTTCTGACAATTCTTCCAGTGAAACCATACTCGACGTGGCTAAGAAAGATTATTAAATAGCCTTAAAAGATAGTGGATTCCAGGTAACACTCACATACACACCACAAATAAAAACCAACAAGAAGAGAAACATCATATGGTTCAATCCAATGTACAACAAAAATGTAAAAACAAACATGGGAAAACATTCATTAAACTTGTACACAAACACTTACCTTCATCAAGCACTCTCCACAAGATATTCAACAAAAACACAGTAAAAATCAGCTATAGTTGCACTGAGAACATAACACAAATAATAAAAAAAAAGCACAACAGAAAAACATGTAACTGCAGAATAAAGAATGAATGTCCCTTAAACAGCAATTGATTGTAAAGGATGTTACATTGTTCTGCAAATAGTAAATACACAGATAGCACAATGCTCTCTAAACATATCTGAGAGATTAAAAAAAAAAAAAATCACACCAAAAATATCATGGAAAATAAAAAGAACATCAGCCTACAACAATCAATTCGAAAACTATAAACTCTGCTGAGGAAAAAATAACTATAATTACCTTCTCAGACCAAAACAAACTACTAAATAAATAATCAGAACTAAGCTACTTAAAAAGTGAAAATGAACAAAAATAAATAAATGAAAACAAGTAAAATAAATTAATCTAAATAAATAAACTAAGTAAAAGTAAATAAAACTGATAGAATAATACAATAGACTAACCACAATGCATAAATTATATATATATATATATATATATATATATATATATATATATATATATATATATAAATCAAGCAAAAACACAATGCGCCTGGCCTGACAATTGCATTTAACATGAAACAGACTATTGCCTCTGGGTCTCTACTTCAATGTCCACTTTTAGAATTACATACACTCTATCCCTGATATTGAGCACTTTAATCCATAAATATTGTATATATAGACAAAAATATTTTGATGCATGTTTTGTTAAAAATAACTAAAAAGGAATATCCTGTGAGTTTTTGATTTTTTTGTTTGAAATTAATTTCTATTGTGTCCTTTATTTTTTCTTGTTTATTATTGATGAATAAGTGTGTCTACAGTGTCAGTTTTCCCATGACCTTTCAGCTAATACTGAAGCCACTTTCAGAAGTGGAGGAGGGTTGCTTGAAGAAAAATAACACTATGGACAAGTTCACCACACCACAGACAGCTATCAAAAAGGAAAATTTCCATAGCTGTCAGGTTTTAATGAAACATACACATATATAATGTGTGCACACATGTATACACACACAGAGCAGGGGAGGTAAATGAATATTTTCATCTTTTTCTAATATACGACTTTAATAAATTTTTTTTTTTTAAATCAGTTCACACTAAGCAAGGCAACAACTCAACTAAGATGAGGGTAGTGAATGAGAATGAAAAGACTTTTGAAGGAACTGGAAACAACGGATAAATGTCTACCCCTGTTCAAAAGACCAGGGAGGAGTGTGAACTGAATGGTATTCACATGCAGACATTAATTCTTCAACCAGTTCCATAAAAGACTAAAAGAGTTCAGCTTCTTTCAAGTCATGTTTGTCAAACTTAAAATATCAACATTTCAAAAATATACATGAAAAGCCAGGGAGGAGTGTGAACTGGACAATAGACAAACCAAACTACACCTTTTAAAATATATGAAATATCAAAAAAAAAAAAAAAAAAAAAAAAAAGGATCCACCTCAAAATCTCATCTATTATTCTGTTGAGAAAACAGACCTGCTTCGATATTTAATCTCCACTTCAAAATTCACCAAGAAATTTTGTTGATATTGGAGACAAATATTAATGAATATATAATGTATATTCAACTTGTTAGCACAATTTTTTTTTTTATTATAAAGACTTAATTATTTATTTGTTATTCTGGCTTACAAGTTGAAAAAAATCAACTTTGGAATTTAACAAAGAAGTACAATTACAAAATAGGGTTTTAAAAACAATAAAATAAAAAACTTACTTTTTTACTTTCAGATTTAAAACTTTCCAATCCCTAAATAAAACAAAAAAAAAAAATTAAGAGAAAGATTTTTAAATGTACAAAGAAAAAAAATCCTAATATGTATTTTAAAAAGGAATACAAATTTATCGAGAGACTCTTAGATTGAAATTATAAAATTTGTAAAAATGCAGAAAATGTCTACATTTAGTTCTATTTTACATTCTATTTAATATCATGAACTTAAAAATCATTAAAAGATCATTTACCATATCTGCAAAGAGGAAAGTTCTTCTGAACTCAAATCTCTGCCATACGACTTGAAATTCTTTTCTAATTATTACAAAATTACTGACTTTATAAAATTAGAATTGTCCTGATATATATATATATGAGAGAGAGAGAGAGAGAAAAGGAGAGAGAGAAAAATGAAAAGAGGAAAGAAAAGAAAAAAAGAAAAAAAAGAAAAGAAGAAAAAAAAAACAAATAAACAAAAAAGTATGGTTCCAAGACGTCAATAGTAATACTACCGAGAAGTGACAACATTTGAATATTTTTGTCAATAGATTTTCAATGCTGCTGAGATTGGTCATAAACAATACCAAATCCCTGGAGAGGGATGGGTGCTGCCAGGTATAATTTGCCCAAGATACATTATGCTATACACAAATGAATACCTGTGGAGACAGTTGGTGAGAGAGACTGCTGTGTAGCAACCCTTTGATAAAATCTCATCATGCTACTGATAATGAAGATAAATAAGTGATAATGTGTTTTGATTCTATAATGCTTCAAGAAATAAGAAAATCCTGTAGAGTATGGTTTAGATGATAAATTAAAATTTTTTTAAAATTGGGCAGGTAGTTCCTGCTCCTTGGAAATCTTGTAAATATATTGAAACCTTAAATCTACCTTAGATACTGGATGGACTTGAGTATAGTTCAAGTTTTTATGATCAGTTTTTTTTTGTTTTTTTTAACACATAAAATAGCAGGTGTGGGGTGCACTATACAGAGGCAATTTTTTTTTTTTTGGTATGGAGGGGGTTTGAAATTGATGCCAAAAAATTCAGAGTTTGTACTACACATGAAGCAGTCTTATGTACAAGCATACAGTAAGTGAATGAGATTTAAGAGCATTTTCATTAGTAACACCAAAAACTAATAGTCATAATTTTAAATCATAGAAAACTAAAATTAAAAATTAAGTTGCATTTTCTTTGCTCACCGACTAGAAATTTATGATGTTAGTTTCGGGGTTGAAATTTAACAATTTGGGGGAATGAAAAAATTTCAATCTTTCTCCCAAACAGTATTGTACATCTATTTTTGTTAGGTTCCAATTTAGGTAAGGTGTCAGAATTTTTTTTTTCTTAGTCTCTACCAGACAGAATTGGTATTAAGCTTATTTCTATTTTCAAAGTGGAAAATAATAGATCCAACATTTGGGATTTTTTGATGATAGTGGGGGTAAGAAATAGAAATCTCCGAGTCCAATAGGAAGGGATCATCTAGATTATTTGGTTGTGCTGTTTGCTTGATTTTGGTGTCTGGCCAAGAGCAGCCACAAACTGATTCTTAAGAAAATGATCATTAAATGTACAAGAAGTGAAACCATTAGCAATGAGATTTTCCAGAAATTTACCAAAGGATGATAAAGTTATGATTGCAAAAGATAATTGTGTGGAGTTTGCTGTCATTTTGAAATATATATATATATATATATATATATATATATATCTCAATGACTTGATTTTAATTGATAGTTTGATATTGAAAAGTCACTGATCGTAATCTCCCTGATTAGAAAATGGGGGGAATCCTCATGAATAAGACCTTTGACATCACTGAATATAGCCAATGCAAAAAGAGAATAATTTTGCTATCCAATCCATAATCAAATCAAAATAGAAATTAAACAAGCCAAACAATTATCTTCTCAATCAAAAACTGGAGTGAAACATACACACAAAAACAAGTGAATAAATAAATGAGTTAGAGTGAAAAGTACCAACTGTGATAAGTGCTTCCTCAAATAAACCTTTGTTTTCCACATTCTACAGCATATAAGACATGTGTTCTTAAACTGTAGGAGGAGGATGTCAATTTAAAAGGAAAAAAAAAAAAAAAAAAAAAAAGAAAGGTGGGAGAATTTTTTCCAAAATATATATATATATATATATATATATATATATATATATATAATTTTTCCAAAATTATATAACAATTACAAAAAAGGTTTGTTTACAAAACTCCAGAATAGGGGTGCTGAATATAACCTCAATCAGCTAAAGGACAAGTATATATATATATATATATATATATATATATATGCTAAATATTTTTCTTTACTAAATATTAAATACAATGTAACAGGAATTTTATCATGACAGCATGGGTGGATAAAGTTGGCCATTCCCCCACCCACTGAACCATTCTAGTTGGGGAATAGAAAAATTAAAGGCAAATATAAAAATTTAAAAGGAAAACAGTGGCAAGATGGGAAAATTAGAAAAAAGAAAAATTAGGATTAGTCTAAACTAGTTAAAGTAGGTATAGCATAGTTTAACAGATTGAAAGTATTGATTTCGGGGTGGGAGGTGGTTTACAAACTCTGTTCCAAGGGATATAATTTCAGGGAATAATAGTTAGAAGTGAACCTTTTGGCTTAAACTAGTTACATTGATAAATAATTAATGAGTAGTTATGGTTCAAGTGCATCTAGGCAACCATTGAGGGTGCCAAATGCAAATTTCAACAAGACTGTTGGGAAGAAAATAAATACGAGGCAAGGATTAAAGTTGTACCAATTATGTAGACACACTTGCATAACTGGACGGTGATTTTGTAAATCTCTTAAAGTATCTGCCATTATATAACAAGTCTGGACAGGATCACTATTGGACACAGATTCACACATGCACATTTTAGGATTGTGAGTGAGTGAGAGAGAGAGAGAGACAGAGACAGAGACACAAGTTTGAATTTCAGTAGAGTTCATTACATTCAATTACATGCTAATACCCTTGGGAAATGTATAAATCCATCTCCCCCGCTCCCATCCATGAGTAAGTAGCTGGACAGAGTGGGCCATATAGCCTTGGTTGGTGACTAGTCTAGGAGAAGGAAAATTGGATTCAAACCAGTCTGGAGAAGGTTGTGCTCTGTTAGACTATCTTACCCAAGATACACCACTGCTATTATGGCTGCAGTACGTATGGTACCCCTATGAAACTAATGGGTTATGGGAAGACTAGTGATCTCACACACATGTACATATGCAAGTTTCATTCAAAATGGCTGACAAAGTACAGCGGTTGAGGTTTTTTTTTTATTTGATTTTTCGTGTGTTCTTATAATCTTCTCCATCTATTATGATTTTATGTATCTATGTAAAACAAAGTCTAGAAATAATGAAAGCATTATTAATAAAAAAAGAAAAAGCTAACACTCCATAATACAAACTATGAACACAGCCACAATGTGCTGACCATGTTTGGAAAATAAAACATTCCTATAACTCTAGATACATACATAAAACAATCCATGTATTCAGTTAAAAGTAAAAATAAAATCATCCTTGATAATGGTTAAAAGTATAGGCAACAGCGCTCAGGCATACTGAACATTTGGACAATTTCTATATAATTTATGTCCAGAAAAGAAGAACATTATAAGAATACAAGAAAAATTAAATAAAAAAAAACTTAGCCACACTACCTAATCAGTCGTTATATATAATTGTGCATTTGGGCAGCAATCCTTCTTTTATAAAAGTTTCATTAAAGATGACCGACAATTAAGCTTCTTATTTAATTTACACATATGTTCATACATACAGGTTTCATTTAAGACAGCATGCAAAACACTGGAAATTAAGCTGTTTATCATATTTTTTTTATACAAGAGATTTGTGGAGGGACAGTGTGTAAAAACTGTATAAATGATCTTTGGATTTGAGAGTTTTTGGCTAATGTGTGTGTGTGTATTTCATTGAATATTATGACTATTTATTATTATAATAATCCTTTCAGTTGTCTAATTATTCTTATTGAGTTGAAATTCTTCAAGATGGCTTCAAGAGTGGTAGACCATAAGAAAAATACCAAAATTTTCTTTTGAATAGTTTTTACACCAAACTTTCAATGGTAAATTTATATATATATATATATATATATATATATATATATATATATATATATATTTAGCTCTTGAAATCTATTTTCAATTGAGCACTGTCGAATCGGTTTAGTAAAACAACAGTCAGACGTAGGAGCTGAAGCTAGTCAGTAAAATGAAGATGACACTATGGTACTATCTACAAATTTAATATATATATATATCATTCTGTATATATAGTTTCTGACTGACACCAAATTGTCCAACCTGAATGATAGAGAGCTGTATTAGTTAACATAGCTATATATATATATATATATATATACAATATATATATAAAATATCCATGTCTGAATGATAGAGCTATTAGTTTTTTATACAATATATAAAATTCCATGTCTTGTAGTTTTTAATATATATTATGGAATAGTTCAATCTATTCCTTTGAATATTTCAGATTTCTCTGTTGTACATTAAGCACTTTCTTTTTATCATTTATAATCTCTGATTATTAAAATTTTTATCTTTTATAATCTCTGATTATTAAAATTTTAAATTGATTTGTCCTGTTGGTGAAAAACAGAGAGGGGTTGCATTGTTTGTTCACACTTCAATTAAAAACAAATTAGAGCATTCCTTGATGTCTGCAGCTGCATTTAGAAAATTTTTAATACTGTTAATTAATAGTCTTTATCATCATTAATAGACTGTTTTCAAATAATGGCTTGGTTATTGACATTTTCTTTTTAAGAATAAAGACATCAAGAAATATTATCAAATATTATCAAATTATCATTTGCTGCTGATAAAATAAAAGGCAAAATTATATTCCAAGATTTTCTATATTTGTATTCATTTTTACATACCAGCTCAGCACACGGTATCCAAAATAAGTAAAAGAAAGATGCATACTAAGCAATTTATATCACATTTAAA